CTCCTACTTCTCCACTCTTTACACAACGAAGAAAACAAAAAATATAGTACTTGCGTTACTATCTGTATATAATTTTCGACAGCAAGGGAGAAGAGTCACTAGAAAATTGGCCAAAAATGTTCAATGCTGCTGCCTCAAGTATGTTAAGAAACAGTCCCAAGATATTCTACTGGTCCTCGCTTCTGCTATATTGCTTTCTCGTAATTTTATGGCTATTTCAGGACTTGAACTTAAAAAACGAACGAAGTCATTGTGGACATTCATGGATCAGCGTCTGGACGACTATCTGAACCCGTTTTATGAGGTGCGATCGTTACATCTGGTATCAAGGAATGATGAAGTTATGAAAAGTTTTCTTGGGGACTGTAAAGTGTAAAGGCCGTGCACCCTCAGCCCTTAAGGGTGGCTTTCGCCTTTGACTCGGCATTCTTGCGATAATTATTATTTGAGCCGCACAACTCGTCCTTTTTGAACCCCAGGGCGTGCCTTCAATGATTTGAATGCTCTGCGGCTAAAGCGAGAAGTTGCGAATTTTGTTACCGTTAGAAGGACGCACCCGTACAAATACAGACATAGTTAGCGGTTCAATATGGTAGATAATCCAGTGGCTTTCACTAGGCACTTCTGTGCATCCCAAAAACAGTGATTAGCACCAATCCAGCGTTTTTCTCAAACTTATTTGTGCGCAGCCTAGAGAACGTGTTGCTCCAGGTTGGCAGTTTGAGGTTGTTGTCGAAGTATGATATTTTCAGCGGTTAGCTGAGCTGAAAAATCACCAAAGTAAAAGCGGCTGCCGGCTGTAGCAATTCCATGGCGGATAGCGGTCATAGCAGCGGAACGGGTCAGTCTGAAGAACGAGGAGCCTCTACCTCTAACGATCAACGACCACCGCCACGTGAAAGCGGCGTTTACGAAACACTTTCGGTCAGTTTCCACTATTTTTTCATCCATTGTTACCAAATCTGGCTACGACCAGTATTACGGGGTACAAATTCTGTTGAGTGATATGTTCATTTTTAGGATGACCCCTTGCTGTGATTCCCGCCACGAGAATAGAAAACCTGTTACGATACGACAACACAAAATATCTCGGATGAAGTAGGATAATAAAGTAAGCTAGTTCAAGACTTCAGACTGTTCGGTAGTATGTAAGAGAACTAGAATTCTTTCAGCCCACAAATGGCTCAACAAATTTCGTTCTGGAGATTTCAGCCTTGAAGGTGAACCTCATAGCGGTCGACCTAAAGCAATATCTGACGAGGATTTTAGGGGGATTTTGAGGGCTGACCCATCCCAAACAGTTCGAGAGATAGCAGAAGAGCTAGGCCTTGGCAAATCCACTGTTGCAGATGGTTTGGAACGCATTGGGAAGGTGAAAAAAAACTCGACAATTGGGTGCCCCACAATCGGAGTGACCGGCAGGAATCGGCACGTCTCGAGGTTCTTCTGCATTGCTTTTGCGCAGCAGAAACGACCTGTTTTTGGGCCGAATTGTCACCTGTGATGAAAAATGGGTCATGTATGATAACAGGAGACGTTCCGGACAGTGGTTGGATTTCGACGAACCACCGAGGTAATTTTTAAAGCCGAACCCTCACGAAAAAAGATTCTGGTCACGGTTTGGTGGTCATCGGCTGGTGTGATCCACTATAACTTTTATCACCAGGCCAAACCATCACAGCAGAACCCTACTGTGAAGAAATCGACGAATTGTACCGAAAATTTTGTCAGATGCAGCCAACACTTATCAAAAGAAAGGGTCCGATTCCTTTGCATGACAACGCCCGCCCACACGTTTCACAAATCACTATCCATAAATTGAACGAATTGGGGGTTGAAGTTCTACCTCAACCGCCATATTCTTCAGACCTTTCGCCAACCGACTATCACCTTTTCTAACATTTTCAGAACTCCCTTGCTGGAAAATACTTCATCAATCAGGACCAGGCAAAAAAGCCTTAGTGGATTTCGTGAATTTTCGACCACCCAGTTTTTTTTACTTTGATGGGATTTCTCGACTGCTGTCACACTTGGCAAAAGTGTGCTGATTCGAATGGTGCCTATTTCGATTAAATCCGATGAGTATTAAAAAAGTTACGATCGTTTAAAGTGAAACACCCAAAACGCTGAGAACTTTCCGGACAACCTAATATAATTCACAATGTTGTAAGCTATCTGGAGGAGCCTATTGTCGTCAGTGTATTCGGGATCCTCCATTATATCTAGCTCTAAACCCTCAATCAGACCACTGAACGGGACAAGGGAGAAGGCCCTCTACTCTCAGCACCTGGGCTTGTAGATCAGCTGCAGAGTCTTCCACTTCTGCGAGCTGTTGGAAGTGAAGTGGAACCTCTGCAGGATCCAAAATTCCTTTGCTGCCCTTCTGCAGCATCTCCATCCTCAGGTCTAAGACACGACGTAAGATGCTCCTTCGCCACTCGTGCTTCACGGGCGTTTTGATCACGACGGTCGACTGACGAGCCAAAAACTTTCTTTTGACCCGTATCACTCTCGCGACCGTTCTGCTACCGTTTCTCTCAGCGAGGCGCAGCGTGTTGAAATGGAGCGTCGACAGCATAATATAGAGCTTGTACGTCTCCAGCGGGCTGTTTAGAAATTTTATAATCAGCGAAACGGGGGAACAACAGCACATTTTCTGACTTACTATAGAAAAGCTCCTTTCGACGAAAGGCCGATCTAGGGCGTTCTTCGTCTCGCATATTGAGGTCCCCCCATGTGACCCTACTTTCTCCAGATCTTCTTGGAACCGTGCTCTCAAGATGACATCACGGAAACCATTATACGCTTTACTCCCTAAGGGAAGCGGTTCGGGACGCGGAGAGGTCAACGCACCGTGAAGACATGAGGTCAAGCAACCGGGTGTGGACAGTCTTAACAATGACTTTGAAGAAAGTTAATAAACTTCTGTCAATAGAAAGTATTGCGACTACTGTCTTCCCACTCCTAACATGCATCAGGCAGCCGTTAAACCGATGCTTGATGTCTTTCCCCGAGGAGCCCCGTTCAATACATTTCCAAAGGTGGGTCTTGACCTTCTCAATCCATCCACCAATAGCGCCACACTCTGAGCGGCGAGACTCCTGAAAAGACGTCGAATCTTCGTGTTGTTGAAAATCTCACACAAAATTTAGAAAATCACGCTTCTTCACTCGTTTCCTAGCCATTCACGAGATTGTCAGCCATCAAAATAGATGGTCACTATAGCCGCGGTACCGTGTACACGCTCTACTTCATCCAGTACGCAACCAAAGCTCCGGCTTCTGTCTGTTGTGAGGGATGCTATTTCTAAGCCTTGCATGATCAACCAGGTGCCAGGGGCCCTCTCTTCAGTCTTCTATTCTCCATTCTAGCTTGCTGTGGTGTTCTGTAAGAAAATAATAAATTACAATAAAGTAGCGTCAGTATCAACACTCTGAGAAACGACTGACCGCACTGGGACCGATCTAACACTTCCGAGTGCATTATAAGTTTGGTGCACTGGTCCGCGACAACCACCTTTCCTATCTCTGCGCTATAGCCTCTGCTGTCATATGAGCCATCTGCGGCAATATGTAAGCCAGACCCACGTTTCTATAAGTTGGAATATAGCTTTATCTACTAGTTTATTCAGTTATGTATAGAATTCACGGATTTACCCTGTACTCGTCCCTAATTATCGACAAGACGGGTCTGCTGCGCCTGCCACATGTATCTCTCGTTCAATGCTTTTTTCCCAGGGAGCCGTAATTGAAAAAATTTTGTAGAAAAAACTCTTTGAAAAAAGAGCAATGTCAGCTTCTTCAGCCCACCGTTGCAGTTCCTATACAATATAGTTCAGTATTTCCCTGTTAACAAACACGTCTGCACAAATGATGTTTCTAACATACCACATATCTAGTTCCCGTAGTTATGGCAGCAACAACAGCTTGGACGTTCCAACGACTTCTCTTTGGTATGGGAAACTGCCCTTTCCTGTCCTTCAAAGCGCTTTTCGAACGGGTAACAAGTCGTGCAGATGTAATCCACGACAGGAGCTGTTGTCCCACGCGCTCTCAAACGCACACATCTTTTTCGACTCTGACATTTTGGAGCCGCAAGGATGGGCAGAAGCGGAAAAGCTTCAATAAGTGGCTCCCTTTAATAAGGAAATGGCGGTCCAGCAGATCATGGTCTGTTTCATCCAGTTCCACGATGTCCTGAGAGCCTATCGTTGAATCCGATGGATTTGTATATTGAGAAAGTGGATCTTTGTGGACTACACTGTTTGTGCTACAAACTCCCTCAGAGGTTCTACTTGTATTCAAGTCCCTCTGAAACTTGCGACAACATCCGATCTTCAGTCTCCTCCACAGAAGCAAGTTCCATTATCCACGGCAGATGCTCGTGTTCCCTTCAGCTCCTTCGGGGTAAACTTCATTCGTTCATCAATCTTGAAGCAGTTTTCCCCAGGAGTGAAAACCTTTGCATTGTTCTAGAGATATATCAGTGGGTCTGGGTCTTGTTATGAAAGGTCTAAACACACGCTTACTGTTACATACATGCAACGTTTTCCGTTTCCTGGACCCCGAAAATTTGCTCTGACTGACTTATCTGAAATCACGAAAGAAGATGGGCCACATGATTCGCTGTTAGTTTAAAACTGGCCTGAACGTAAATGTGTTTGCACCGTAGACCACAAACTGTAAAGTACTGCATGCTTACATCAATCGCCAGCTGGTTCGGCTCTAAGCGAACTAGGATCTCC